TTGAATCTATTAGTGTCCATATTTTAAATAAAGATGATAACCAATGTTATTTTACAGTACATGGTTCTTACCTTCTATATGTCTAGTTATACCCCAGTCTGCTCTTTGATATGCATCAGCAGATAAAAGACCAGTGCATTTCTGAGGAGGACTCAGAGATATATCCTGGCAAAAAAAATATCAATAACGAGTTGCATAAAGATTTCCTAATCACCAAGGTGACACCCAATTTTCCAGGTTGAAATACATTAGATTTAAAAAATAGAGAATTACACATTGTAAACTGACAGATTTTATACCATAAGCTCATATATCCTCTGCAAATAGGGAAAATTTTACCTTCCTTTGGCTACTGAGCTTATAAACCAGTATAGAAGGAGGGATCTGTGGATGTGCCTGGTGAAACTGCAGGTCTTTTAAAATGAAGTTAAAATAGGGTTGCTTAGGCTCAGGCCTAGGGCCATCCTGACGATTAGTCCCATCACATTCTATAATTGTTAATGGTATACTTAAAACTATTGCTATCCTTGTTATTAGGACTCTATGGCCTTATATTTATTTCTAGGCTGTTTGGTATCATTATGTGTATATGAGAGATGATATGCAAAAATGATAAGAAAAATAATTTTTTAAAAATCTTACCTTTGAGCCAGCTGAGGAAGAAAAATTACTGTGATAGTTCTTTATATTGATTTCCTCCACAGGAGTGGTTTCAATCACATTTTTCTTTTTAATATCAACATCACAGTTTCCAGGTAATGTTTTAAGTTTAGGTTCCTCAGTTTCATTTGTTTCTTCTACAAAAATAAAAGAAAAATAGAGAGTACAGAAAAAGCTCCATAATTTTAAATCAATAATCAGCTCTGCAATAGATACTCTTCAAATATTTTACCATCATTCCTCGATTCATTAGAAGTGTGAGGTAATTCTCCATTTTCTTTGGGGATATCCTAGGAAGGAAAAAATATTTAGGTGTAATATGTACCAAATTTGAAAAATTAGCTTAATATTTTCCATTATTGCAGGATACAAGAGAAGGAGAACATGTTTTTGAGCCATTGCAATGTAAACTCAATTTAATCTTGCCATTTACTAAGCTATGTCTGCTCATGGGGTGAGGATGATGGGAGATCTCCAAAATGTTATTCCCCTTACCTCCAAGATAATTTCACAAATACTGACATCCATTAAATTATTTTATTAATCCAAATGACCTAGGATGAAATTGGAGC